AAAAAAAAATCTCTGTTGAAAAGCCTGCAATGTGTTGGGCTATGGAAATAATTTGTGTGTACTGTAGATTTCTTGATAAGCGAGCTAGTATATTTTACATATACTTCACATTTAACATTCATTTATGATGATGGTGGTTGTTTGTGTTGATATTTTGCCATTTTATTATGACTGTGTTCCCTCTTTCCCTTCAAGCAACATACATATAAATTTATATTGTTTCTGACAGTTTAAAATGTTATATCCTTATTAACCTTTAAATTTATGTTGCAAATGAGCCTGGCGGAATCTCACTGTGCAGTGATTTAGGGGACATTTGAGAGGATGCTTTTCTCTGATAACTAGCATTAGTAGTTATTCTGTATTCATTATCAGATTATATGATTCCAAAGAAAAGTTGTTAAAGTTATCACTTAGGGCGTTCCTGGAGAGCCGAAAATTACAGTGTTAATGCCCTTTAGTAAAGCTGTTAAGAAAGGACGGAGCGGAAAATAACTCTTCTCTTTTTCCACTTTGCAGCATCCTGAAGTCCATGGAGTTTGCGCCATCTGACGGCTCAAGCATCCAGGTAATTCATTCAATTTTCTGGTAGAGCAAAGCTGGATAAATTTTTTTGAATGTTCACTTGGATTGAAAACTTGCTATTCAAATGTAGCAAGAGCTTGTAGGAATTGTGAGTGATCATAGCTATTGTTCTTCTTTTACGGAAAAATCTTACATTCTCTGTTAGCTGGCTGCTGGGTTGTTGTTTTTTTCCTGGTGTTGGCTATTGGTATGTTTAAACTGCCCAGCATTTCTTTGAATTGAGATGGGCAGCTAATAAATTTAATAAATAAAGATTACAGAGGAAAATAATACAGAAATAAATACAAGAATTGAAGTGGGAACTTATGGTCTAGAACTTGTGGTCTAACCCTAAACCACAAGCTCCTTCAATGACCATGGGTTTATAAGATGATCAGACACAATAATAATTCAATTGTCCCATGTACTTTAACTTATGAAACTTGGGCTGACTGACTCCTCCCATGAGTAGGGCAGTAGCACACCAACTGGTAAGGATTTGATCATCATCACACGCTATTTGTGGAAGGATTCAACAGGCACCTGCCTATCTAAACCTAGTTTATTGTGACTTGCAAACCATGCAAGATGTATGAGGATGATTAGAATGATTAGAATTACCCAAATAGATAACTGTTTGAAAAGTTGTGATCAAGATGAACTTTTGGGAGTCTTAAGATATTAATGCAGATGACAAATGAGCTGTATTTTTCTACTTTGTCCACTAACACAATTATCTCTACTGTTGTATGAGCATTGAGCTGATAATTACATGAATAATAATTAACAAAGCCAAACCATTTACAATATAAGCACCGTTTATATTGTCTCCAGTTTCTCTTAAATATCAGTTTCAGAGAGAAATAGGGATTGGCAATTTGAACCATCTCCCTGATCTGAACAGTACAACAGTTTTCCTGGCATGGCATCTCATTCTGCTTGGATCACAACTCCCAGAATTTTCTCACTACATTGAAAATTCCACAAATTCATCTCAACACACTTCAAGGGTGTCAGATTTTCCACATTGACTTCATTCTAGTTACTAGTATGTTGTTCTAAAAGCAGCAACTAGAACTCTAAGTTTAAATCCTAAATGCACATGTGAACTAAATTAAATCTTGTGCAAAAGTGAAGTATCCCCAACGTTCCTTGCTGTGTATTCCTTTCATTGAATCATAGGTTACAAATTGGATTCCAGCATCTTTAGTGCACACTTAGTGGTTTTGATGATTGAGAGGAAGGAAGGAAGGGAGAAAGGAACGGCTTTGGTTACTACTTTCAGTTATCTCTTTAATACAAATTATCTCTTTCATACAATCTGAAACATAATGTTGCAAGGAAGATAACCCCTGATATTGCTGTGTCTAAAGACAAGCAGGTGTAAAAAATGATTTAGTGAAGCATTTAAACAGTCTCTACAGCCACTAAGCAAAGCAGTGAAGTGCCATAGGCTAGAATCTGCACTCTTTTGAATTCCCACCCTATTGTCCCGGGACAACAATCTGAACCAGTTCCCATGTTTTCTCTTTGTTCTCTCTACATCTCCATAGGATGCTGCATCAAAACCACTGGAGGTCTTACTGCTGGAGAAAAACCGCCTGCTACAGTCAGAAAATGCCACGTTGCGGATCACAAACAGTGACCTGAGCGGTAAGTGGATGGGAGAAAAATAGGTAATTATTATTTAGGTTGTGCTTGCTCTGAGATGAGGATGTGGAAAGGGAAGGGGATGTGAAACCAAGGCCAGAGCGATGACAGAAAGATGAATGGTGAGCAAGGATCTTGTCTTATGTTGGAGTCCCCGCTTATACTTATAGATAATAGACTAAGGCTCGGAGCCCTTAGAAAAATGGTAAAGGTGAAGAAGGAGAAATGTTCTCATGTGTTGTGATGAGCAGCATTGGAGCCTGCCTTCCCTTTCAATTGTTTAGTCTCACCGTGACATTATTTCCCATGCACACTTCTCCCAAAACATAGATTGGCGTTTCAAAGAGATCCTGTTGTTTTCATAGCTGATTCATTCACTTGAATCCCTGACCTCCTTTATTTCCATTAGCGGTGAATTTTGGCTTCATTTGGCTGTGTATGTGTTTTGTTTGGAAGGGATGCTTTGCATGCCATAAATGAACAATACAACTGGGGTCTCCAAATAGATAGAATTTCCTGGAGGGTTTTTTTTCAATTAAGGTTTCTAGAGCTGGTGCCTAATGTGTCAATGGGCAGTTGGGTGATTGCTGCCTTGTGTGTAGTTTCTGTGTTTCTTCTGTGGCTTCCTTTGAGCAGTGGTTTCTATGTCTTGCGTGTGTTTCATCTAGCCTTGATAAATGTTTGCTGCATTTGGGCTCAAACAAGGTCTGTTCTTATGTGTGGGGGGCGGGGGGGGGGGTTATTGGAACAACTCAAATGTGCAAGGAACCAAAGTAATGTTTGTGTGTGCTTCAATGGAATTTTAAACCAAAACAAAAGAATTATGTAACTGCACTTCATGTCATTGTTCTACTGCTAATATTTGGAAGGGGGAATTCTCCAGGCTGCAACATACAAGAAAGGTGCAAACATGAAATGCATGTTGTTTGTCTTGGGGGCCTTGTTTGGCTTATTAAAATTAAAAGAAACAAACAAACAAAACAAAAACAAAAACCCAAACCACTTTCTTCATTGGCCCTTATTTCAAGAACAAAACAAAACGCAACCTGCACTATTTTTCCCTTTTGTGGGGCAAGCTCTGCATTTTGGTCTTGGTTTCCCCCCTTCTTTTTGATCCCCCATAATGCATTATGTTTGACCTTCCTTGTAGGGTCAGCCAGGAGAAAAGGGAAAGACCAGCCTGAGAGTCAGCGTCCTGCAACCTTGCCGGCCTCCCCTCCTCCTCAGTTGCCCCGCAATGCAGGGGAGCAGGCTTCCAATACTAATGGTACACACCAGTTCTCACCAACGGGTTTAAGTCAAGACTTTTTCAGCTCATCCTTGGCAAGCTCCAGCTTACCCCTGGCTTCTACAGGAAAATTTGCACTAAACTCTCTCCTCCAGCGCCAACTTATGCAGTCCTTCTACACCAAGGCCATGCAGGAAGCGGGAAGCACAAGCATGATTTTTTCAGTAGGTCCCTACAGCACAAACTCCATATCTTCCCAAAGCCCCTTGCAACAAAGCCCAGACGTCAATGGCATGGCCCCGTCACCCAACCAATCAGAAAGCACCGGCAGCACCTCAGAAGGTGAGGAGATAGACACAGCTGAAATTGCACGTCAGGTCAAAGAGCAATTGATCAAGCACAATATCGGACAGCGGATCTTTGGACACTACGTCTTGGGACTTTCTCAAGGATCTGTGAGTGAGATTCTGGCTCGACCTAAACCATGGAACAAGCTGACCGTGAGAGGCAAGGAGCCATTCCATAAAATGAAGCAGTTCCTTTCTGATGAGCAGAACATCTTGGCTTTGCGCAGCATCCAAGGCAGGCAGAGAGGTGAGTGAAGAGGCAATGGCCTCCATCTTCTCTTTTGGCATCTATGTTTGTCTAGATAGGAGACACTGTAAAAAAAGAGAATGGTGTGTGTGTGTGTGTGTGTGTGTGTCTGGTGTTCAGTACATAATGTGGAAAGAATAGAGAATGTCTTGCTAGGAATCGAAATAGCAGAGTAAAAGATAGGTATCTAAGGATTGTGCTCCATCTCCATGGGAATGGATGTAAACTGCAAAAAGACAAAAGTACCACCATGCAGCTTGTGTTCATTTCTGTGGGGCTGACCTTGGAGATGGATTCCAATGGGCTGCGATCTGTGTAAGCTGATTGAGAGTCTACCTCTTAAACCAGAGGTCCCCAACCTTTTGGGCACCAGGGGCCGGTTCTGTGGAGAGACGTTTTTCCACAGACTGGAGAGTTCGTGGTTTTGTGTGCTGCCTGCATCCCGCAGATGGGGCTTTGCTTGTTTATGCGGACCAGTTGCAGGCATGCCATGGCCCGGTACCGGTCCACAGACCGGGGGTTGGGGACCCCTGTCTTAAACTATCTCTCATGCATTGGGCAGCAATGAAAGGAGAGCTGATTTTTTTTTTACTTTTAGCTTTGTAGGAAACTTTATTTACCTTGCCTGATCAAACTATAGTAGGGCAGGTTTTATCATTACATGATCCCTCTTTATTTTGGTTTGTTAAGCATACATTACAGAGAGTTTTTTAAAAAGTAAAAGTAGTTCTAGGGCCACTTGACATTCCTTTGGCAAATCTCACTTGATTGCCAATGGAAAACACAGTAATATTTGAAATTAATTCTAATAATTGATGGCTAATACATTTCACCGTCTTTACAGCAGCTACAGGGGATCTCCTGAGCATTTGTAAATTTAGCCCTCTTGCCTATAAGCCGTCAGGTCCATTGGGCTGCTAGACTCAGAATAATTTATTATGGTCCCTTGTTATTGGGGCCATGCAAATTCATATATGACAAAAGCAGCTAGTGGGCAGTCTGGCTGGCTGGGGAGATGGGTATAACAGTACAAGAAAGAAGCAGGCCAGATAAAAAGTCTCATTGGGCGTTTTTAATGGAATTAGAAGTTGCCCATGGAATACAGAGATGAAATAGGGATGTATTCTGTCCAAGCGTTATTTCTCTTTAACCGCTCCAGCCCCATTCTTTTGAAACCAAACTTTTGCAGAAACAAAACTTCTCCAAGAAACACATTTAACTGCTTTTAAGTATCCTAGGATGGAAGGCGTTTCCAGCCTTTTCTTCTGAGCAGACCACCATCACTGAAAGCATGATCCCTCAAAATCATGTCCATAGACTTTAGATTTAAGTAAATTTTTATTTGCATTTTTTCACCAAAAAGTCAAATGACCAGTCTCTTGTGAGATTGCAAACTTTTTTGTAATCTCAACACATATGTAAAGCAAAGGAAGGCAGAAGGTCCCAAAATCCTCAGTTGAAAGTAGCTTAGGTAGCAGTTTGGGGGAAAAATTTGGGAGGGCTTCTGTGAATCTTCTTCATCTTTTAAGATCAAAAGTTCACCTATACTCCAGATATATATTTGGGAAATGCCCTTTATTAGAATTATTTACCATATGCTTTATTTAATTTAAAATATTAACTCTATATCCTGTCCAGTTATCAGTGTTGTCTGACAATTTGCAGTAAAACAGGAAAAAAATGATACCTCGGGAAGGTACAAAACGCAAACTGTGAAATAGATTCTGGTAGTATATCAGTTTGATAGGCAGAGTGAAACGAACATGAACTGACAATAGAAGAAAAGTGCATAGATAGTCCTTGTTTAGCGACTGCCTCATATAGCAACCATTTGTAGTTACAATAGTGATGAAAAAGTAACTTTGCAAGCAGTCCTCACATTTACCGATACTACCTTTGCAGATCTGGAAAGGAAAGGAAATGAAAGCTTGAAGTAAGATCGTAGTTACACTTAGCAACCACTTCACTTAACAACTGAGTTGACCGTCCCAGCTGTGGTTGCTTTATACCTGTAATGTAAAGACTTTTAAAAACACAGCTTTTGAGATTCAGTAGCTTGGGACTATGAAGTGCATGTATCAATGGAACAGATGGGACTGGGCTTTGAAACACAGACCTGATGTGAATGCAGCAGCACCATTTATTTGCTGTGCAATCATAGAAAGAGGAGAGAGTGAGATGTCAGCTCCATTCCACCTGTAAAATTACTGTTCCTTTACAGAAGAATTGCATGATGTCTCAATCATACCTTCATAAATATTACTAGGGCATCAAATCTTGTGGGTTTTCCTTGGATTCAGAAATGTCCTCATTAGCAGTCACCACTTATACGGCTCAGAGGTTCTGCAGTAAATGTTAAAACACAGCACAAGGTTGAAACTGGTCAGGTTTCACGCTGTCGTATAAGATAACATTTAAGATCAAACTATATAATTCTGAAGGGCAGAAGAGTTCATAAGCAGGAATTGCTAGGTTACTATTCAAGGATGGGGTTTGCAGAGGGACAGAAAGAATGCTGGTCTGTACATGCTGCAAACTGGAGCATTCCTATTTTATTAAGGAATATAAAATGGCTGTATATTTTTTAACAATCTCTGAAGTTTGATATGGCATAAGACCTCATCCAAGGGTGGGAAATGTTGGAAATACATTCCATGGAGAAAGTAGGAGAGCTGCTTCTTTCTCCATTAAAATGTCCTCCTTGGTCCCTGTAGAGGCAAACAGGCAGGCAACACTCAACTGTAGCTGTTATCTTTTCTCTATAACTGTGAGAACTAAAACCATGAATTCTTAGCCATATACATTTTCTCATACAGTGCACTGTATCGCAGTAGCCAATGAGAGCCCAGTTACATGCACCTGAACACACAAAGGTTATGCACGATTGTCTAGCACTTACAATAATATGTGAGTGCCTCTGTGCAAAGGGCATTTACTATATTCTCTATCCTCTCATTCTTGTATGGGACCTGGGGGACTGGAGTGAAGAGCCAGTTATTCCCTGCTTAGCTCTCTGTCAGAATATGTGATATGTCCAAAATTCTGATACTCATAATTTAAAATAAGATAACAATATATTACATCGTTGTTGTTTTTAAAATATCACTATGTTTAGCAGTGGTCCCCAAACTTTGTGGCTTGGTGGCCCGGCTGGGAGGAATGGGGAACTGGCTGCTTGAGCGGAGGGCCCATGCACACGTGCAGTATGAATCACGCAAGCAGCAGGCCGGCATGCATGTGTGTGCACATGCAGCTCAACTAATTGAGCTGCGCCGACACCATCCTGCCACTCACACAGCCTGGTTCCTCTTTCCCCCCAGCCATGCAAGCTGAGAGCACGCACACGTGCGCGCCCCATGACCCACCACTTGTCCAAGTCAAGCTATGCATGTGCATGCATGCTGCCCCGCGGTTTGCGTGGCCTGATTGCAAATAGACCATGGTCTGGTAGTGGGCCACGGCCTGGGGATTGGGGACCCATGATGTATAGAATAAAGATCATGATAGTCAACCATTTCCCGCCCACTTTTTATTTTCATAAGATGCTAACTGGTATGGTTGGCTTGTTCCTTCTTCTTATTATATTACATGGTACTTTGGATATTCACTTTGGAACAAACCTCCTTGCCGGTGTTTGTATGAAATAATATTGCAAATGGAAATTTCCCATTCCCAATTCCTAAAGCGGAATTGCTTGTCTTTCTAAGCAGTATGATTTCATTTGGAAGAGAAGCTTTAAAGAGAATAGGAATTTGAGGAGGCGTTGTGTGCTTTTTTGAAGCAGAGCTTCCCTAGATTGCTAAGAAGTGTTTATAGCATCTTCCAGCATGTTCCTTTCCTTGGGGTCATCCACTCTTGTAAGAATTACTGACCCATCTCTGTCTTTTTATACCTTTCAGATGTTTATTTATATCTCTCTAATCTTCTTTTGATGCATAGCTATAATCTTTATTAACCAGTAGTCTGCCTTGCTTCCTTTTTCAAAGTAACCAGGCCTAAAAGGTTTGCGAGCTGCTTGATTTCACTGCTGCCCTTGCTCACCATCCACTCCCTCCCTCCCTCCCTCCCCAACCCCTATAAATATTAGGCAGTTCTTGTTTCATCTCACAGCCCAAAGTGATAAGAAGAACCACCCCCTGATTGTTTTGTTCTTACCCAACTTGTTTTTCAACAGAGAATCCAGGCCAGAACCTGAGCAGGCTATTTCAGGAAGTACCGAAACGAAGAAATGGGTCAGAAGGTACGTCACAGGCAGGTGTTTCTCTTTGCGGTTGATCTTTGGGAAGTGAAGTATGCTTTAGTTGTGTGTCGTCTTAATTGTTGTTGCTATAAACACAAAGGGATGCCGTTTGATTCTGGCCTGGAATCTGAGAGAAAAACAGACAGTGGGCCCTGTGCAGCTATAACATGGACTCCATGCAAGCTATGTTTGAAATCACTTCCTCCCTCCTATTCCTCTCCAGATTAGTTCCATAGCCCATTGTTCCCTGCATTAGCAGGGTTTCACGTTACAATTAGACCAAACTGTGCTTTATGCTAACCAAAGTTATCCTGAGAATCAGTGCTTGAAGCAATTATAGGTCTATAAACCCTCTTTCTGAGGTCAACCCTGATTAGCATCTACATGGTGCCAGTGCACAGATAATATAAAATCAGGTTGATGCTGGATAAGGAAAAGAGGAAGAGGTAAATGATGCTTGGCAAAGAGTCAATGCTATATCTGTACTGGTGCAGTAAGTATAAAACAAACCATGGGTTAGCATCAAGGTCACTCGTCCCCTCTTTTCTCTCCTTCTAAGTCTATTGCTGTACTAACCTGGCTCCTTCAAGTAAACTGTGTCTCACTCAAGCAAAGCTGGACTCCGCTACTGTTAATCCCACTACTTTTCTATGTGCTTTCTCCAAGGAGCTCAGATCAATAAAATGGGAATAATCCCATTTTATAAGAGTACAAGTGACTAAGTGGCCACATGGTAAGTTTCATGGCAGAACCATTGGTTCAAATCTGACATGTGGCCCATCATATCATACTGGCTTTTGTAGCCTTTGTTTCTTCTTGGTGTTTGAGGTTCACAGTCAAAAGCGATATTGGTATGAAAAGTGTTTGTGTGGTATGTGTGTAGAATTGACTCTGCTATGAATCTTGAACAATGCAAGTTATGTTTCTTTCTTCTGTAGAAGTGCATATAGAGATGCAAGGCCATTTCAGCTAGATATAATGTTATTTGATACCAAATGATATCTAAAATACCATCAAAGTTTTGAGAACTTAAGACAGTAAGAAAGAATGAAGTAGAATATTCTCTATGCTGAAAATGCTTCCTGCTCAAAAACCACCTGAATAAAATAGAACCTAATTCAGCATTCAAACAATGTAGCATAAAGTGGGTAGAATGTGGCTAGTTTTGAACCAAGTATGGTTCGTAGCTCTGCAATTAACTCCCATTGGTGGCTTTAAGAAAGTTGTTTGTGCTCATAGATTTAGACCTGTTCTCTATATTCAGAATGGCCTATAACCGAGTTTTGCATGTGTAGAATCACTTCACTAATAATGTAGAAAGTTTTATTTGGTTGGCTGTGGGACTGATTCTTTAAAAGAGGGAAATAAAGCTACAATCATGATTCCATCTATTTTGCAAGATCAGTTAAACTTCTGAGCAAATCTGTTTCACATTGCAGTGTACAAATCTGATTCAGGATCTGGGCTAAAATGAATAGAATTAAAACTGGAACTAGAATTAGAATACATTATTTTTACCAAGTGTGATTAGACATACAGTGAATTTGTCTCTGGTGCAGAAGTTCTCAGTGAACATGCAAAGCAACAGAATAATGATAATCATAATATCAATAAGAAGGGGGAGTAAAGATAACAAGGAGGATAAATAAAAATACTACAATCATACTACATGGGTAAATACACATAGACATTCAACAGGATTGTGAGAATTAAGTTCAGAAGAGTGAGGGCACAAGGGAAAAAACTGTCCCTGTGTTTTGGCCTGAAATGCCCTATAGCACCATCCCAAGGAGAGAAGTTGAAACAATCTGTGTCCAGGATGTTTAGGAGTCTGCAGATAACTTCTCAGCCCTCCTTCTGACCTGCACAATATACAGGACTTCTATGGAGAGCAGGCTGCACTTGTTCTTTCTGCAGGCTTAATTATCCATTGGAGTATGTACCTGTCCTGTTTGCTTGATATACCAAACCAGATAGTTATAGAAGTACAAATGATAGATTCAATAATTCCTCTGTAAAATTGTATCAACAGCTCCTGGAGCTATTTGAACTTCCTGAGTTGATACAGGAAGAACATTCTTTGTTGTGCCTTTTTAATGATGGTTCTAATGCTAGGTGTCCATTTCAAGTCCTGGGAGATTATAGATCTGAAAAACTTGAAGTGCTCTACTGCTGATACTCTGCTGTGGAATATAGTAGGAGTGGTAAAATCCCATCTATATGCAGAGTTATCACCATCTCAGATGAGGCCAATTTCCTTTGTATCATCTGCAAATTTCAGTACTTCAACAGAGGCTTCTCTTGGGGTGCGGTCATTGGCATATGAAGAGGGGCGCCTGTCCTAATTGCCTGGGTACCAGATGCAATTTTCTGCTTCCTATCTGTCAAAAAGCCAATGATCCATCTACAAATATGAAATGAAACGAATTATTGCTCAAAGTCCATTTTTTCAGATATGAATTTTCATCCTTCCTTGGATCCTTAAAGAAGCTGCATTTATTATGGGACTGGCATGGTAGCCATCTGAGTTAAGGAGGTAGCAGCAGGTAGAACAACACACAGTCACACCATACCACTCTCTTCTTAATGCTTTCTTAACTCGTGTTAAGGAGTTAACACATTAACACCAGTTTTCCTAAGAATATGCACCTACATGCACATTACCCCCCGCCCCAAAGCATGACTTTGATTATGTATCTACAGATACATTTACACAACATCAAATCCAAAGGACCAAACCATCTTTCCCACTTTGGATTGGAATACCGCATATATCTACTGATGACCCATCCATGGCTTTTTGCAACTATCTTGCTTTCTTGGCATGAACCAAGAAAACATCCTACAATTTACATTTCTTTGTCTAGCTTGTTTCAAGGCTGAACAATACTAAAAGTCCTTATTTTGCACAGCACAGAGAGGTTTAGTTGAAGAAGCCATTGATGGCTCATTAACAACACCTGATTACTGAATATTCAGTAAATATTTGCCAGCCAGGTAATTCGCTTGATATGCGAACATGATCTGTATTTTATACCCCCACTTTCTCCTACATGAGCTGACATGAGTATTTAGATTAGGGATAAAGAATCAGAGACTCCCCAGATGTTATTCCATTGCATTTTTTATTGTTAAATTCAGCAGGTTTGACATTTTTAATCTGCAGCTTTTAAATTCAGCTTTTAGCAGAACTGCTTTCTATATTCAACATTTTACATTTTCTGGCTGTTTGATTTTCTGTAGTGAATGCCTTATTTTATTTTACTCACTCAATTTATATTGCTGCCCCTCTGGCTTCTGTGTGACTCTAGGCGGCTTACAATAAAACAAAAACAGAAAATATAAAACAAACATAAAAGACAAAAAGACCTAGCGGTCAGGCATCATTCACACAACCAGAAGATGGGATTTAACCCTTGGCCAGGGCCTCAAGCTCAAACACAAAGCCCTTTCAGGGCCTGCCAAAAAGCCAGTAGAGACAGGGCCAATCTAATCTCTGAGGGGAATGATAGTCTAAAGGGCAGAAAAGATTTTCCTTCTGGACTCCGTCAGCTGATGGTCTCCAAAGATGCCCTTCCTCATAAGCCATTTTGGATGTACTTTCCACAAAACTGAAAGATTAATAATAAAAATAAGTAATATAAGAGTGATAATAAAGTGGGCTACTTAAAAGGATAGAGCTCAAATTGCCAAAAAAAAAAAAAAAAGGAAGAGCATCATCGGGGCACTGGACTACCACATAAAGTATGCATGTGCGGTCTGTGGCCCACTGCTAGGCTGTGGCCTATTTGGAATTGGGACACGGAAACGGTGGGTGAGGGCGTGTGTGCACCTCCATTTGTGCGAGTGGCGTGTGCGTGTGCTCGTGTGTAGCTATTCCTCCTCCCTCCCCCCCACCGGTCCGCAAAGCCAGAAAGGTTGGGGATCGCGGTACTAAGTCAACCAAGGGCTGCTAATGGTAGAAGGGCAGCCTCAAGATCTTCCCTTCTCCCCTGATAGGGTTCTCAGTCTGTAAAGGAGAATTGGGTATGATAATCTTTCAGATGTAAGGCACCTTTAATGGACTGTTCGTAAACAGCCATGAGATGGTGTACTAAGGTCTGATGGGAATGAAGACATTTAAATACTAGGGAAAATAAGTGATATAAATTCTTACATTATTAAACAAAATGAAGTCACCATTGTGCCTGCTAGCGCTATTTCAGATTATTCTTAAATTCAGGATAATTGCCTTAAATATTAAGAGCTGGGTAATGAAGGCACATAGGAATTTGGAATTTTTAAACACATTCCCTCTTTTATGTTCGGTGGCTTGTTTTAATTAAGAAATGATAAAGCAAGGAGTTGACTAACTTCTGGTGGGAAATTAATTTCTCTGATGACTGCAAAGAGTGTTATGATTGTCCTTCTGCCTCCCTCTCCCTTAAAGGCTGCTGTTTCAGCAAGCTGAACTTGCAGTTGAATGCCTCTCAGGGGCAGTACAGGTAGTCCTCGACTTACAACAGTTTGTTTAGCGACTGTTCAAAGTTACAACGGCATTGAAAAAAGTGATTTATGACCTTTTTACACACGACCATTGCAGCATCCCCATAGTCACATGATCAAAATTGAGATGCTTGGCAATTGGTTCATATTTATAAGAGTTACAATGTCCCGGGGTCATGTGATCACCTTTTGTGACCTTCTCACAAGCAAAGTCAATGGGGAAGCCAGATTTCACTTAACAACCTTGTTACCAACTTAACAACTACAGTGATTCATTTAACAACTGTGGCAAGAAAAGTCATAAAATCGGGCAAAGTTCACTTAACAAATGTCTTGCTTAACAAATGTCTCGCTTAACAACAGAAAATTTGGGCTCAATTGTGGTCATAAGTCGAGGGCTCCCTGTACTTAAAGGCACAATAAGGGACAAATGGCCAAACTTCTACAGCTTGAGAGGAGATCTCCTGTGCAGATCTTCAGAGAAACTGTGCTTCAGAAGTATTTGCCCCTCTCCTAGTATTTTTGATTATATAAGAAGAGGCATTTAGAATGGAATGGAATGGAATGGAAATGGAAATGGAAATAGACCTTGGAGGTCTTCTAGTCCAGCCCCCTGCTCAAGCAGGAGAACCTATACCATTTCAGACAAGTGACTGTCCAGTCTCTTCTTAAAAATCTCCAGTGATGGAGCGCCCACGATTTCTGGAGGCAAGCAGTTCCACTGGTTAATCGTCCTCAGTGTTAGAAAGTTTCTCCTTAATTCCAGGTTGCTTCTCTCTTTGATCAATTTCCAACCATTGTTTCTTGTCCTGCCCTCTGGTGCTTTGGAGAATAATTTGACCCCCTCTTCTTTGTGTCAGCCCACATATTTGTGAATATGAGTTTTTAATAGTTTCAGTTAGTTGTTTATTCTTGCTGGGTACCATGCATTCTGAATCACAGTGATTTTGCAAGATTATTTAATTGGTTTCTATACTTGGACTGATCATATTTTGAATTCAGAGCCATAGTAGAATTACACTAATCTGCATAGAGAAGAACAGTTCCTTCCAACATGTTACTTTAGCTCACCAGACATGGATTTCTTACAGAAGCTGTTCATTGTTTCATTCTTGAAAAACTGATTTTAAGGAAAGTAATGTTCAAGCATAGCCTTAGGATCTTTGACAGAGGAATTGGGAATTTGAAAGACTCTTCACTCACCTGCATCTTTGACTCGTGTTACACACCAGTCATCCTAAATAGCCTCCATATGTAAAAGTCCTGAAATCACAGATGGATGCCAGGACAACATGAGCCAGATAGATTTCATTATTCTAATATTTCCATCCTTTTCAATGATGTGCACAAAGCTGAAAATTCTGATGAATGATGCTGCTATTAATTGAGTGGGTGGGGGAAGGAGCCAGTTGGATTTTTCCATCTACTGTATTTGGAAAATTGGAGGCGCTTGATAATTGAGGACTATAGGCAGCCCTCCCCCCATTAAAGTGCATTTGGTCTTCTTCCATTGAACTTTTAGTCTTTTAAAAGCAAGCATTGAGCTATATCTTGTTTAAAGGAAGATTTGAATGCTATTTAGACATATTGCCAATTTGGAAAATGACCAAAATAATTCAAATGCACTGCCCCCTCCAATACACAGTCCTTATGTCTGTTTTTTTTTATTCCTGTCTACAAAACGTTGTCACATTTGGATATATTTTGCTTTTAAAATGTTTAGCCGATTTTCTTTTTTAAAAAAATATGGAAAAGGAAAAAGCCTTGCAAGTTGTATTCAGGAACTGTCTGTGCTTTGGATGGAACTGATCCATCGACTTTCAAGAACAGGCTATATAAAATATTGTTTGATATCCTTGTTGTAAAAGTTTGCTGCTAACAAATGTTGTCATGTTATCTTAAATTTGCAGTGAGTTTGATGAGGCAAAACACATTAGCGGAGTATCTAAAGCACCAGGTCCTGGTTCCTTTGCCCAAAAAATCCACAGAAAAGAACCAAGTGGGGCAGATTCTCTGCATGGGGATCCAGAAAAAAACTTCCTGCTGCTTAGAGGAGATAAAATCAGTCTAGATAAGCCAACTCAGTGACTTATGCCTGACACCAACTTGTGAACCATGATGTACAAATCATGATACTTGTTTCATGCAGTCCAAGTATCTATACTTAGATTTTAGTCCCAAAGTTGCTTTTTCAAAAGGCAACTGGATTTCTTTGTTTTTCCTTGAAGACATTTCGCTTCTCATTCAAGAAGAAGCGAACTAAAGAAGTTGGTTGGAAAAGAAGGGAAACATCTTCAAGAGAAAAAAACACAGAAAGTCCAGTTGCCTTTTGAAAAAGCACCTTTGAGACAACCATGACCTGGATGACTGAGAATCTCCAGCTCAGCATATGGAAGCAATGTGTCAGTTAGATGTATGATCTCTTTGTTGGTCCAGTATCCAGACAAGCAATTCACACGTCTTTTGTATTCTTTTTGAAATAATTGTGATTGTGAAGGAAAGGAACCCATTTGTGAGATGTGATGGAGGACAGAAACTGGGACAAGTTAAAAGAGCAGAAGTTGGAAATTCTAAATTGTAAATAGCTGCAAAAGTAATGGGAAGGCAGATAAAATAGAGCTGCAGTTGTTGATTTTATTCATTGATTCATCTTATTGTAGTTTTTGTGGAGTAATTCACTGAGCCAAGCCACCAGTATGTGGCTGAGAAAATCAATTCTCAAAAGGTTGCTCAACAATTGATCATTTCTCCTCTCTTCAGGTAACATTACCACAAGAATCCGAGCTACAGATGTTGGCTCTGATGAAGCTATCAAATCCATTCTGGAGCAAGCAAAAAGGGAGCTGCAGGTACAGAAAACAGGTAGGAGAACTTTGAAGTTCAGGTTAATACGGAAACAGTAGTAAACTGCTTATGAGAAAGCAAATGAACTTGGGGCATTGTTTACTTCAGTAGATTCCATTGCTAAAGGTTTATGGCTTAAAGAGTGTTGGGTCTTTCTTTAGCTCAAGAAAATGCTGTGTGTTACAATATCCCAAACAGATCATTTAAGGATGAAATGTAATAATACAAAAACATCTATAACAGGCAAATTTTGTGGATACTTCTAAAGCGTGAAGCTCTCCCCAAAACATTTTCCTTATTGGGGGTGGGGGGGGAGTCTCGATTGGGAAGTTTGCATATCTCCCCAAGGTTGGGTGGGGCAGGGTAGAAGCTACTTATGTAGAAGCTACAATAAGTAAGAATATGTGGACATTTAAACTCAAATGTACTATTATACTATATAGAAAATACTGCCAAGGGTGGCTAAAACAATCCTAAATGTACAGGGAAATGAAGTAGGGTGAAAAATCTCCATCACAGTGGGCAGGAGAGCAGATAATAATAAAATAAAGGTAGCCAAGGCCCAGATCCAGTGGGCAGAAGAGATGGGGTAAAACAGATTAGTCCAGATTAGAAATATGCATTAAAAAGAAAGATGTGTCCTAATGTGCTGAAAGGATTTATATACTGAATGGATGTGCTAGAAATTTCAGTTTATTGAGCATTTTTCCTTTTTCTTCGTGGCCTACATCTGACACATGAATGTTCTCCTATTATAGCTTGTGATGAGGATGACATCACAATAAGTATCCACTTGCTTACTGACTTAGTAACAAACTGTTTCAGAATCAAGGAATGTTGTTTTCCTATTTTATATTAAATTGGCACACTTGCAAGTAAGAGATGTGTTTGATCATTTTATTAAGGAGACAGTGGTTTGGGGATAGATTGGAATGTGTGTTTTGTTTTCTATTTCACTTTGTTTTACTGTTGTAATGCTTTTTATTTTTATGAGAAATTTTTTTTCATTTTCTTGGGCAATGAATATTTACATTTAATAATATTTGATGCTTATTGAGGCATAAAAATGTAAGAAAATGTGCTTTTCCTGGTAAATTTCAGGATTCTAATCAATATTTTGATGAGGAGTTTTCACCCTTGTTATTTTTCAGGATCTTTATAATAGCAGTCTCATAAATGTGGGTTTTTTTAAAAACAAAAACATAACCCACTTCTGAACCAGTAAGGTTTATTAATAAACCATACATCTGGCACAGATCTCTATTGGGCCCTGAGTGGTGATGGAAAGAAGAGCTTATAACTGATGTTTGGGGAAATGAATGATGGGATCTACTGTCTCTCATCAGTCATTGTTTTCTTATTCTTGCAGCTGAGCCGGCTCAGCCACCTTCCACATCAACCAGCAGCAGTTCCGACGATGCTATTCGCTCCATTTTGCAACAGGCTCGACGAGAGATGGAAGCCCAGCAGGCTGCCCTTGAACCTGCCTTAAAAGCCACCCCTCTATCCCAAGCCGAAATGTCCATCTTGTCCTCAAAACTGATCCCTACACCTGCAGTTTCTTCAGTTTCTAGTTACTCTCCCCTGGCTCTCTCCTTGAAGAAGCACTCGTCCTCTGTGGATTCCACGGTGTCTTCCCTACAGACTGTCCCTGGTCTCAAGAAGGAAGCCCAAGAGGCCTCCCTTCTAGACCTCCACGGGATGCCTGACTCAGCACAAGGCGTACTGAGGCATGTTAAAAATGAACTGGGACGCAGTGGGGTATGGAAGGACCATTGGTGGAATACTGTGCAACCTGACAGAAGGAACACGGCTCCCCCAGAAGACCCCAAAATGGAGGAGAGCACCAGTGGGAAAGAGAAGGCCAGCAACCAAGCTCGTTCAGACCGTAACCAGCAAGTCCAAGGGCCCTCCTCCTCCTCGGAATATTGGAAAGAGTGGCCCAACGCAGAATCTCCCTATTCTCAGAGCTCTGAACTGAGTGTGACAGGGGCAAGTCGCAGTGAGACACCCCAAAACAGCCCCCTTCCTTCTTCCCCCATTGTTTCTTTATCAAAGCCATCTAAGCCTTCCGTTCCTCCATTGACCCCTGAGCAGTATGAGATTTACATGTACCAAGAAGTGGATACGATAGATCTAACCCGTCAGGTCAAAGAGAAGCTAGCAAAAAACGGCATCTGCCAAAGGATATTTGGGGAAAAGGTAAGGCTCTCAAATGGAATATTTCAGTGGTTTCTGTATCAGTCATCAGCATCTGACAGCAGTGGGTCAAGATTGACATAAAAAGGCAAATAGCTAATTTATCTATACAGGTAGTCCTTGACTTACGACAACAACTGAGCCCAAAATTTCTGTTGCTAAATGAGACATTTGTTAACTCAAGTTTTACCCCATTTTACAATCTTTCTTGCCACTGTTGTTAAGTGAATCACTGTAGTTGTCAACATAGTGACACGGTTGTTAAGTGAACCTGGCTTCCCCATTGACTTTGCTTGTCAGAAGATTTCAAAAGGGGATCACATGACCCCAGGACACCGCAACCGTCATAAATATGGATCAGTTGCCAAGTGCCTGAATTTTGTTCACGTGACACGGGGATGCTGCAATGTTTGTAAATATGAAAAATGGTCATACGTCACTTTTTTCAGTGCTGTTATAACTTTGGTCATGAAACAAACTGTTGTATGTCAAGGATTACCTGTATTTCTTAATTAGAATAATTCAGTCATTACCCTTCAAGACCTGGGAAAGCTTGGAGTTGTTTTTTTTAAAGAAGCAAACTAGAAGCAGACATGTTTTAGGTATCCAGATTCAAGACTAAGTTATTAGCATTATTCTTCCCACCACCACTCAAGCAGTACTCAAAATTCCTTATGCTTACATGGCTGCAGATCAGAATAGACAAATACAAAAGTGGATGGAGCTATCACATCTTGAATGTCTCTTTAGAAGGAGGAGTTTGTTACATATCTTGCATTTTTGCCCAATAAGCAAAACCTGCTGAGATTCCTTCTGCAGAGCTAAGAAGGATGGGGGAGTCCTATCCACTTAAGTATATGGTTACTCTGATGAGCTGACTAGTATGGAATTGTGGGGATTATCACAGGATAGAGCAGTGTTTCTCAATCTCATGAATTTGAAGGTATGTGGACTGCAGCTCCCAGAATTCCTCAACCATCCTGGCTGGGAGACTCTGGGAGTTGACGCCTACACAATTTTAAAGTTTTTGACATTGAGAAACACTGATGCCAGTTGCTTAGCTCTGCTGTTTGTTGCAACAGGAAGTGTCTGGATAATGACCGAGATGCCCGTGCTGTAAACCAAAAGCTACTTTCTTCTACTTTTCTTCTGTGGAAACCCCATGTCTCCTTCTCAGACTGGTTTTATTTTATCCTTACATTCAAATTACTGGAATAACTGAATGTTACCAGACGTTGTCACACATTTTTAATATTTTGCTGCACAATCAAGAATGTGGTTTTGAAAAGGAAAGGAAAGAAAAGCAGCCAATTCTTAGATCATTATGTTTTGCAAAAAAAAAAAAAAAAAAAAGACCGGGTTCCTGTATGGCAGGAGTGTCAAACTCGCAACGTTGCATGACGTGTTGCGACTTTTTTTCCATTGCCAGCAATGGGGTGGGTGTGGTTTCCCATGACGGGCTGGCAGTTTGACACCACTGCTGTATGGGGTATTGGAGACAGGTGAAAGACTTACATATGTTGCCATCTTGAGTGCTTGCAGGAATAGAATACGAAGCCAAACATAGGTAGCCCTGAATGGTATCATCTGGCAGTTTGGGGTGCATAAATATGTCCATTGCTTTTAAAACAGCTGAGGTACAGCAAGAAAGTCAGTCTGGTAAATTGGTGTTATTTAACCTAAGATGGGCTGGAGATGATGGTTTAATGTGAGGCTTCTTTCACTGTCCACCTGTTTGCATCCTACCAAAGTTAACTCCTTGGCATTCCCCCTGTCCTTTTTGGTATGCTTCCTTTCTTTGGTATTCTTGTATATGAAATGAATGAAGTAAAACCACATGAGTAAGCATATGATGGAAATAGTCTGAGTGTCATGGAAAGGCCATTTCATCTCATTTCCAGCCTTACATTTGTTTCTCCTCTTTCCAGTAAAAAAAAAAAGGGCTTAGAGAAACTCAAACTAAAAAGTTATAGTTAAAAAAAATTAAGATGCACCAATAAAGAAACATCAACAAGCAACTCCGCTATCCTATAATATGCTAAAACACAAGTAGGCCAGAAATGAGCTGCAATGATTCGTGCTAGACTCCACATCTTTCTTCAGATCATTCAACAGTAGGAAATACTAAAATGCTTTTGGGAAATTAATTGGAAAAGAAAACTTGGGCGAGGAGAACAAGCATGAATTTATTGAGGAAAGAAGCTATGAAACTTTGGCTCTAGGACTGAGAAGGCCAATTCAGTGGATCTAGAATTCCAGGTCTGAGCAAATCCTTATAGATCTTTTTCTTGTTGCTGCTGTTTAATGTCTGTGCTAAAGAGTCATTGCGTAAGAGCTTTCCTGAAATTGGGTAAAGACCAGTATAATCAATCAACTGATTTTCCCATTGTAATCGAAACGTGAGGCTAATTCTACTTCCTCGGTGGTTGTTTCCTTCTAGGTGCTGGGTCTTTCCCAGGGCAGCGTCAGCGACATGCTGTCTCGGCCAAAGCCATGGAGCAAGTTGACACAGAAGGGGCGTGAGCCATTCATTCGTATGCAGCTGTGGCTAAATGGCGAACTCGGGCAGGGTGTCTTGCCATCTCAAGGGCAGCCCCAAGGCCAAGGTAAAGAAACAAACTGTACTGGGCTTCAGATCACATGGTGTTCTTGATTTTTTTTAACCTTTCATTTAGAGCACTGTTTCTCAACCTCAACTATTTTAAGATGTGTGGGCTGACTGAGGAATTGTGGGAGTCCACACATCTTAATCTTGATTGAAAGCAGGGGTAGTCAACCTTGGCTCTTTTATGACTCGTGGACTTCAACTCCCAGAATTCCTGAGCCAGCACAGCTGGCTCAGGAATTCTGGGAGTTGAAGTCCACGAGTCATAAAAGAGCCCAGGTTGACTACCTCTGATTTAGAGGATCAGTTTGTCCCTAGCCTGTACTTTAAGGCTTAGACTTCTCAACTCCTTACACAGAGAAGGCAATTGCGTTTTGGGATGGGGGTGGATGAGGACAAGGATGTGTGGAATACAGGAGTAAAGGAGTAAAAACGGCATAGGGTCTTGTGAACCCCATAAACGTACGACCACATAAGCATTTTATTATTTATTTATTGAATAAATTTATATGCTACCCATCTCTCCAGTAAGCACTCGTGAATCATAGCCCACTAAGGTACCCACAACTGTTGCGGTTGTAAAACATGGACACGGCTACCACACTGGAAATTATGGATATCAGCTGGATCAGACTGGGCTATTATCCCAGTTGATCTTTATTTGAATCCACTGTATCCCAAAACAGACAACAGTTGGTGCGCCCCTAGAAATTACATTAAGGCAGGAGGTGCTTAAAGTACTTAAAATGTGAAGCAGGCTTCACAACGAAAGTTCTGAAAGATTTCGGGACAGGTGAAAATAGCTTACATTCTGAAAACACTTATGATTGCATTCTTCTTTATCCTGCTTCCCAGTGCTGGGACTTCTTGGGAACCTTAAAGCTTGCTGGGAACTCAGGTCGCAACACTTCTCTTCCCCCCCCCCCCCCGGCCATCTTTTCCCCTTTTTTTCAACCTGCAGAGTGAAACTTTGGTGTTTGTTAAATAATAACAAATAATGAATTAGGCTGTGGGAGCTTTTAATTAAGATAGTTATTTAATTAAGAACTAACTTAAAATTGCTTGATCCTCCTTCCCTCCCCAAACAGACCCCTGTGTATCTGTATAAGAAAACTTTTCTCAGGCACTCAAAATGGATGTGATTTTAATTTGGATCAGTCCTGATGAAGTCAGGACTCTACTGTTACATTTCCAGTAACATCATGAAGAATAAATAGAGAAAGCCTAGATATTATTTTGCAGACTATCCTTATCCAAAGCTACGTTCTCCCTCTTTTGCCAAAATTGGAGAATCTGTATTTGTGTATGTATGCTTAAAGAGGCCTTGAAGTAACCATTAGTGTAAAGTATCTGGTTGCCTAAAATCCTTACATTTGTACATGAAACTAAGAAACCTGTATTCTTGCCCTTAATATTACATAGCATCCAGAGACATGAGCGTTTACATGATGCAAGTGTGGAAAACTGGGCAACTAGGGCAAAAACAAGCAATTGGGGCTCCCTAGAGTTCCTTAGCCATAGTTTGTCCACGACTGTCATGGGTATATCTAAACCTTAGAAAAATCAGCAGAGAGCTATGCATAGACTCGATCCTGCCTCTTTGCTTCATTGTAAAGAGCAAACACAGGAGGTTATCATCTGAACCAGACTAATAGATAGGAAATCTGGATAGATCCAAATTTAATGTTCAATTGGGAATTACTAGGTTTCCCTAGTTAACCAAAATCCCATCAATCACAGCCATTTTGGCCAACAATTAGGGGTATGAGGACTTGCAATCTGGCTAATCTGGGGCACCAGAGATTAGCCACTCATGGTATAAAGGAAATGGAGACCAGGTAGTTTTACTATGCTGCTTTGCTTTGATCAGCCTGATCTATTTACTGGAACTTGCTTCGCTGGCAAATTGTATCTTCTCTCATATCTCTTTCTTATCATCCTCCTTTTCTTTCTCCAGTCCTTCACTCTATGTCATCACTGCAAGACTCTCTTCAGCAGGGATGTGCAAGCTCAGGTAATCAGTTGCTTCATTATGAAATCTGTTGCTTTATTATGCTACATGTTTTTCTTTCTAATTGAACAGGTGTGTACCTGTGATGGTGGTGGGTAAACTTCTATTTATTTCTGATGTGTTAGAAAGCTGCCTTCCTTTTCCGGGAATTATTTGTACTTATTTAAATTACCAGATTTAATTCTTCACCCTTTTCTTGTTCTCTAGCTTGTTTTCCAATGCCTAAATCATAGAAAAGAGCAATATGATACAGGTGCAAGGGGAAGAACCATAGTGTGTGACCTGCCACAATATCTAAAACTTCACAAAACATTTTTATAAATTAAAAATCTACAGACAGTCTCTAGAACAACACTGTAAGACTTCTAAGGATGTTTATGGGGCATTTGAGGCACCAAATAAATAGGTAGTTGTTTAGCTGGAAAAAATGTGATTTTTAAAACTTTCTTCCTCATTTTTAGTTTTCCATGCAGTTTACATATTGATTCCCTTCTGATTTCTTACACTTGAACAATTTTGTATATCTGTCCTTCCTTATCCTCCCAAATTATAGGAATTCAGCTTTTGGGGTTTTATCATAGATTCATTAAACTGAGCTTGTGATGTTTCCAGCAAAATTGACTGGAAGAGTCATTGCAACAAAAGGGAGTGTTTTATAGATGTGAGTTCAACAGTATTTATTTTAGACATTGATGAATTCCTCTTCAATTCAAAAATTTCCAGATCGTTTATAGTAACCGCAAAAGGATATCGGGTTGTTAGGCTGCAATCTTACTCATATATTCCTGACTAATCTAGATTTCACTACCTTTCAAGTTGCTGTGGAAGATAAATAGGAGCATGGGGCAGTGATGGAAGCCCTGAATTCTCAGTTTTAGTCCCTTTTAGGGAACAGATGTCCCACTAACTTGCATGAACTAAAAAAAAACCTGAGAGAAACGTAAGTTAGTAAAAAAGGCAAAAATGCCCAAAGGTAGTGGTGCAAAGGGGGAGGGAAAAGCAAAAGAAACCAGTTTGTAAAGGTCAGAATAAAACATTTAATAGTAAAGTGGCTTTACTTCTTATGACCAGCCAAACTTTGTTGGTGGCCTTGCTGGGATAGAGTTGCAACTGAGGAAAATTCTCTGCCGCATCCAACAGCCAGAGACTCCTTGCCAAGAAGTTCTGCTGGGAGGCAAAAAGAGCAGCCGCCTCCAGACTCGGAGATGAGTGCAAAATCTGCTTCCCTGCAGGCTCAAGACAACTGTTGATTAGAAACAAGTGTTCATTTTGATAGGGAGGGAAGACGCGGTCTCTTGGCAATTGCTGTTACTCCTTTGATGAAGGCAGCCAAAGCTGCCTTTTTCTTCCCTAACTATTTCAAAAGATGGGAGATCGGTATGCTTCCTTCTTTTGATTAGAAGCAATCGGAGGCATCTGGATATGGCCACTGTGAGAACAGGATTTCCTGGACTGTCCATTAACTCAACTGAATACCGTAATGACATTTTGTAAAGCATGTTTTAAGACCGATTATTTAGCAAGCCACAGATTCAGAACTCGGGTCCTTGTATTTGTTATATGTGAAACAAACCATAACAAACACCAATATCAGTTACTGCAATAAAACCAGAAGTGCTTAAAATAAGTAGCCCATATGAGTCAGTTTTTAAAAGCTGAAGTATTTTGGACTGATCTTGAGTTTTTTTTTCAAATGTGTTGATTAAACTTGTTCTCAGTTTGAGTTAACGAAACTGCTAGGCTCACATAACATGCTGTGCCCAAACAAATGACATCCTGTGGCTTAACAGTACGGCCTGCTTCAACAACATATAAGACAGTCATTGGATTCCCACTGTATGCTGAACCACAGTCTGCCCAACCACATTGTACCTAGTCTAGACTAGCCTGGTAGATGAACTCAGCCATCAAAAGTAATCTTTAATCGTTCCCTCTCATGTTTTAACATGCATATTGGAAAGCAGGCTGATTTTATGCCTGAAAATTGAAATCACCAGCTACATCTCCTAAGAGGGAGACGTGTGGCCTGTCCCACAAATGGCAACCTCAAATACTTATTTTTACTTCAAAATTATTTCTCACTCTGTGGGACGGAAGGAATGCCTGATTTGGTTTTCATGTGTTGAGAGAGGGAGAGAAAGATCTTTTATTATGCCTGTGGGATTCAAGAGCTGGGAGTAGCCCAGCTCTCCTATCTCTGTGCTCTTTCTGATGGGGTGTGAGTACAAACCCGTTGTCTAGGAGTATTATCAATAAGGTTTTTTCCCTGTGTTTGAAACCAGAACTCTTCATCCGTGGATACAGATCGGGGCACCTCATGAGACTTGCAAATGCTTATATTTCTTCCTGGGTATCATTTATCATTTCAGGCTTTGTGGTGCTTAGAATTGTGTAATTGTCAAGGGAAGGGGCTGGAGAATCTAATTAAAGAGATTTTAAAATTAAAATCACCTGTGAGATCATTTGTACTGCACGATTGCATATGGCCTCTTCTGGTGATTAATTGAAGTCCTCTAATATCACAGGGGGAGGAGGGTCAGGTGGCAAGGTCATTGGCTGCCACTGGCTGGATTGCTCCGTTTCTGGCAAGGACTAAAGGGAAAAGAAATGCCCGACTAAGGAAGTAGACAGCGGGAAAGCACAGATAGGGAGAGGAATTTGCAGGAAGGCGAATGGAAAGGAGAAGGCAAATATGATACGCTTAGGTCAGAAAGAAAGAGGAGGCACGTGGCCAAGACCTCTAAAGGCAAGAAACCACAGAGTTGATTTTAAGTAACTGGCTAAATTACTGGCTGCAGGCTTGTAGTCACTTCATGTAATACATTTAAGCCACAAATGTTGTAAAGAAAAATTCTTACTCCCAAAAAAAAAGCACATTTATTTGGGGAACGGTAGTTCATCCAACAGTTTTTCTGTTAACTCTGGGCCTATCTTTCCCACACAGCCTGGTGGAGGCCTTTGCTTCTCCATTTGTTATTTTGCAGACCAAAAGCTGTGAAATCCTTTCCCACAAGGCTTGTATAAGACAAAGAATGTTAAAAATCCCTTACATATGAAAATGCTGTCTTATGCATAAATGTTGGAGTATAATTGGTCGTAGCAAATGCATGATGGAAGGTAGGGGCGTGCAATCTTTTTGGAACCTGAAGGCCATACTTGGCTTTCTAATGGCATGCTGGGGCTATACTACAGAAACTGGGATGGACCAGAACAAAAACTAATTTAAAATGACATTACAATTAATGAAACTAATTAAAAATAATTAATATTTGTGTGTTTAATCATTGTCCTTTTTGACCTTAAGCCAGTCAAGATTGAACTCCTGGCAGTTGGCGTTCTAACCACTGTGCCACCACAGCTCTTTCATGAAATAGAAGTCAGCAAGATTTAAGAGAAATTAAGAGAATAAAAACAATATAAATTTTGAAAGAATAAAGAAAAGTAGTAAGCGGAAAGGTGCAAAGAAAGAAATAGAAAAGAAAAAGTTATAAAGCGGCTTCCAACTTTCTTAACAACGTTACAGTACATTTATATTTTATTGTGCTTAAGGTTGCAACATAATAAAAACAGGTAATGGGTTTTTTTCCTAAGTTAGTTGACCATGTTCCTAGGAATACTGCAAGTTGAGTTCCAGCACACCTTAGTGAGCAATAGGCTGGAGAAAAGTGCTTTTGCTAAATACAAGTAATAGCACGTGTGTTTTTTCATGCATAAGAAATCTAAGAAAACTGCCTGTAGTGCACGTGTTCTATACTTCCTTAAATGTACATAATAGTTTTCCAAGCATATGTAAACATTGGATGAAACACAAATGCATGATGTCGTAGATTTTTCCTTTCCTTCAGTGATTTTGATCAAGTCTACCGCTTAGCCCAACTTCACATGAGGATTATAAGTAGAAAAAAAGGGAAGGACTTAAAACAGTGCTCTGAAAAAACAGGAGTTGTATACTTTAGACCAGGGATGTCAAACTGCCGGTCCGCAAGCCGGTGGCATCATACGGAGGCTGCGCCCACCCAAGCTCCGGCAATGCAAAAAAAATCTCAATACATCACGACGCATCACGTGACATGGCGAGTTTGACCCCCGTGCTTTAGACAGCCAAGACTTCATAATGGGGAAAAAATGGTTATGGAAGACTTGCAGACTTGTAGATGTTATTAGACACAATTGCCATTATCCCTTACCGGCTAGTATTGATTATACTGTGTGGGAATTAGTATCTGGGTGACCACATTTCCTCAGCCCTGCTTTAAAGGGACCATGCTCTGTGACGGATTGATTTAAGAGCATTTGAAATCATGAAAAGTTAGACATTTCTGTCATGTTCACTGAATAGAAATTAGCCATCTTCTCAATTCAAAAAAGCAAGATTTTTAATGACAAATACTATCTTAGGTGAAACATTCCCTTCTGTATAAATAAGAAAGGGGAATAATTTTTCTTATGCCCTCTTGCAAAACAGAGTATGTTTCTGTGTTAAAACCATTGCTTTTCTCATAAGCAGTTTGTGCAGATCTAATCATGCAATGGATCAAGTTAGAGTTATTTAATTAACTAAGTAATGAATTAATAAAATAGGTTTTATTCTATTTAGCATATTAGTGAACCCTCTATACTGCTTCTGAGTCTGTGAAGTGTTTTGGCTTCAGGTCTGCTGAATTTTGGCTTTGTAAATAGTTGTAGACAGGGAAGAACTATCCCATCCCCTACTGGCTTTCAAGATTGAGTAGGCTCCATTGCCTGAATATTATCTTCTTCTCTAAGGTAGATGTGCCAGACGGTGGATGATCTGGATGAAAAATGAGTTCTTAGTAGAAAGATGTATATGGTTTGTCATCTGTAATTTCTTTGGTAACCAGACCCGCTTAGAACATTTTCACATAGAGGTTTTTCTTTGTTCTGGAAATAAGCTCTGCATCCCTCTAATGGACACACTTTGAAGCCATTTGTTTCTAGCACTGGTGTAGTATAGCTAAAACACACAAAAAGACCATCTTTTC